CATATCATTTTTGCACACATCATGGTACCACCATAGAGGGCAACCCCACTAGAGACATCTCAAATCTCACTATACAAAATATTCTTGGAGATATGGTCTTCTCCCATTCTCCTGGCACAGCTGATCCATTGCAGTCTTTTTTTCTTGACAGTGGTTTCAAAGTGTGTCAGTCCTGCATGCTCCAATACCTCTGTTTGGTATTCTGTCTTCCCATTTTATTTTCAGACTTTAACACATCTCACGTGAAAGCTGTTCAGTCTCTTGATGTGCCTAGAATACGTAGTCCACATTTCTGAACCATAAAGCAGGGATGACAACATATAAGTCTCATAGATTTGTACCTTCACCTTAGCTGATAGTTTATTGTTATTCCACGCACATTTCTGCAATAGCCTGAAATTCTTAGCTCTTTTCTGATTCTGTTAGTTCAGTATGAAGATGTCTGAGGCACGTCTACAATTGATATTAATGTGACTGAATAAACTCCAATGCAGTTTGTGCTGGAATTTATTGCTCCTGGGCACAGCATTTACATGTGCAGGCTGGGGCTGCTTTGACCTGGCTCGGTGTGCTGCAGAAGGGCACAAGCATGCTGCAGTGCAGGGCTAGATGGCAGGCACCCCTCACACTGAAGCACCCTCATGCCCCACCCAGCCTTGTCAGTGTCTACATGTGTGTTGCAGTACACTAAATAATGCCACTGTAGCATATTACTTGTATACAGTGGCATTTATTAGTTTACTGCAACCTAATAGGGCTGCATGTGTAGATGCTGAGACTTTACTGCAGAGCTAATTAGGCAACTCGGCAGTAAATGTCTCGTATAGACATGCCCACTGTCAATGACACCAAGAGATTTATCCTCCAGAGTGATATCACACCTTGGTACCTGATTACAATCTTTTTGAGACTAATTCCCATCCCAAAGCTCCTGCAGGATTCAGAAAATCTGCCCAAGAGATTTTGCAGGAAAGATTCACTGTGAGCAATCAAGACCACATGATCTACAAACAGAAAATTTCTCAGAATCCATTCTTTCACCTTGTTTTTGCTTTAAACCTTGCAATGTTAAACAAGCTTCCATCTTGTCTGGTTCAAAGATAAATGTCATTATTGCTGTCCTTGAAGATGCAGAAATGAAAATTCTTTGTTTTAATATAGTACTGTAAGCGGTAATGTTCCAATAAAAGAAGGGCTTAATTGTCTCCGTTTTCTCCTGAAAAGAAATCATCTTCATGGTCCAATTTTGACTTTCAGAGGTATCCCCATGGTGGGAAAAGAACTATGTGTGCAACATTACATTAATCTTTTCTCCTTTTTTCTCCCAGGAGTGGGAACAGTAACCAGTGTTTCTCACTGTCTTGGAGAGAAACTTCTGATGATGGAGGGTGTTACTTTAAAAGCATATTTTACTTTTTTTGTTTCTTTCCAATATATGGATGACATTGAAGAAAGACAAAGTGGAAGTAAAATCCAGGTACAGTTGTACGTGTGAGTGTTTGTCTGTATCTGTGCATTGGAGACAAAAGGCTAGATCTGGATAATGCAAAGTACAGGTCAGGAAATATTTTGTGAAAACAAACAAATAAATAGCTCTAATTTCATCTTTGTGTTCTGCAGGTCTGTGTAGAGTTGGTACCCTTCAGGGTAAAGCAAATCCCTAACTTGTATATAAAATATTGTGACTTCCACATCTTAGAGTTATAATAGAATACAAAAAATGTACACTTCCAGGAAGAAAAGGCTGATTGGCCCACTGTATGCTTAATTATTTTGTCAGTATTTGAGCTATATGCTGGCAAATTGAAGCTGCTACTTTCCAACAGGAGTGAATTATTCACAGCTGCCAAATTGGAATTTGAACTCTCACCTTAAGAATGTGATATCCACATACTGGTAAATTGGATCTGGCGTGCTCCAAGAGTAATATGGTGTCCATAGCTGGCAGGCTGGAACTGGCACTCTTGTACCAATCCGATTTGAGATGAGGATACACATCGTTTAGACCATATTTTTCTTATTATTGTTTGTGTATCTTTCCCTTTTCATAGAAAAAACCCTGGAAATTAAACTCAAGAGATCTACAAAAGCTATTTTAGAGAGGTTATCCTTTCTTTCCATCTGCTTCTCTGTGACTTTAATGAAAACATACAGTTATACTGAGGCTGTCCTTACTCGGCCAAAATGTTCACAGATATTGCTGGGAGTTTGGCCTGAGCAAATACTTCATGATTGGGCCCAACTGATGTAGAGAAAAAATATACCTAGAAGCAAAACTGGAAGCATTTGATTCTATTAAAGGAAAAAGAGAATTTAGGAAGAGTAGATGTGTTGTCTTCCTTGTTTATGATAAATCTGGATTTATTTAGATATCTTTTTTTCTCCTTACTGTTTCTTAATATTCTCTATAGTGTCTCTCCTTTAAGTTGTTAAGCATTTTTGCCAAGATAATTTTTTTTATAAAAGTGATTTTACCATGTAATGTATTATATTTTTAGTAGCTTAATAGGAGAATTCAGGGTAGTCCTGTTTCATTGGACTGTCATTAATAAAATGCATTGGACTGTAGCTTGAAATTTAAAAAATGCAGCTATTAAAGTGTTTTCCTGTCCTTTAACACCAAAAGATGCATGTATGTTTTTGTACTGGAGCTGCTGTAGAGTTCTCAAATGACTAGTCAACAGGCTACTTAGTATCTTTAAATGTTTTGTGTTGGGTGGAGCTGTCTCCCCACCTGAGTGGAGATTTGATGCCTTTTTATATATATGCAGTGCCATAGATATAACAGAACACTGAACAACACAGGACAAAGGTAACTGCCTCAAAAAAGATTACAAACTAAGTGCACTATACAGCGAACATTTACTTCGGGACGCTGGAGCTGATCTAACACTCATAACTCAGGAGGAAGATTCCTTTGCTTTCAGTGGGCAGTGGATCAGGTCCCCAGCGTCTATTACCTTGAATAGACTCATTGAATAGACCTTGAATGACCATAGTGTTTACTAGCCCAGGCAGAAAGTATTTACAGGATTCAGGCCCTAATTCAGCCCAACAGAAAATACATACAAGATGATTCAAATACACAAGAGTGAAAGTGAAATCACTGGGGAGATCATGTTCTGAGGAATTCATAAAGTGGGTTTAAAGAAGGGAGAATTTCAAGATGGAGGCAGAGGATGACTGACAAAAAAATGTGAAGCTGTTGTATAAACATGTCACTTCTAAATTGAGAAGTGAAGTCCTTCCAGATTTTACAAAATGATGGAACAACTAATTATCTCCAAACTCCACCACCTTTCCCTGAGGTTAAAAGGTATATTTTCTTTTCTAACAATGGTGTTGAGACTCTGTACTTACAAGGATTTGGACTTCTGCACACAACAAGCAGAGAGATCAATAGATGGATGTTAGTCTGAAGTCAAGCAGAAAGTAGGATAGGGTAGCGCTTAGAGACAAGCGGGTTCAGAGGCATAAGCTTTCATAGGCATCAGCCTACTTCATCAGATGTTATGAATTTATAGCATGTGCTGTGCAAGTATTGTAACATTCTTCTTTGTCGCTTTGACAAATTCAGTGTTATTCTACAGATATCCATTCAGGATACTGCTGCAAAGATCATTTTCCTAGCCCATCAATTTGGTTGTTATCCTTCTCTCTGCATCCCCCTTCTAGCTCCCCCTTCTCTGACACATCTCTCCACAGTCTAGACTCTTCACAGCCTTGCTTCCCCCGCCCCATGTTATAATCTCATTCAGTACTAAGGGGTCACTTCCACCTTCACTTAGCCTGTGATCCCAGGTGCATGACAACTTCTTAGGTTTGCACAGGGGCACTCTCAGGTTTGCTCCTATATTGGGAAGATCTCCCCATAAACATCTAAAAGTTACCTCACCATCTCCCTTAAAATCCCCCCTTGGCATTTCCTTTCCTGTGATGGCTATGCAATCTTGACCACTCAATCTAAGACCACTGCCTAGCAGGCTGACCAATCCTGCCTCATCGTTTTCTGATCTACGCCTGTTTTATGCCTGAGCCCACTGGTTGGATTTAGTCTTATACTTAGATTGTGTGAACTCTCTGGAGAAAGGACCATCTTTTTGTGCTGTCTGCGCAGAACAATGTAGCCCTGTCTCATGGCTGGGACTCTTAAATAATACAAATAATACATAACAATGGCAACAACTTGCAAGATCAGGGTTGACGGACAATCTTGATTCCTTGAGAGCTTTGTATGTATGAATGTATGTACACACACACAGACCTGGTAACCAGCACTTATATATTTTGCCTTTAAAAAGTGCCATTAGATATGCAGTCTGGCAGTGTCAAAGGCTGAAGTAATTGAAAGGTCCCCTCTCTCAAAAGGTTGAAAATACTTGTGTGCCCAGGGCTGTCTGTCCCTAAGACAGTGGGGCCCTCCTCTCCTCAAGTCAGGTTGTAATAAAGATGTGTCATTCGAGAGGGACTTGGCTTTTCAACCATCATCTTTTATACTTTGTTTGATTTAGTAGGCGCACGTTAGCTAGAGCAGCTACTGGGGAGAACTGTCCAGTGGACACTGCACTGGCAAAGCCCCGCAGTGTTGCCGACTCATGATTTGGGGTGTTGTTCTTGAAGTATAAAAGTATATATATTTTTGGCTTGTTCTTAAAGTCTATCAATACAGATAAAAGAAAGCTAACTTTTTGACATTCCTGAGGCGTAGACTTTAAGAACAACACCAACAACCATGAGACTTGGCAACACCGGGTCCCGTTTGACAGCAGCTTCGGGCGGCTCCTGTCGCTTCCCCGCGCCGGTGTTCCCCACCTCAGCAGCAGCGAGGGAACCGCTGCCTCCCGCCCGGCGTGTGAGGAGAGGCAGCGCAGGCGGCCGGGGAGCGGCGGGAGCGGGACCTGCCGCGCACGTAGCGAAGGAGGCGAGCCAGGCTTTGGGATGCGGGTGCCCAGCGCCCGCCCGGG